AGTTGATGCATGCACCTTATCAACTCCTCGCCGCCGTACTTGAATAGCTCAGCTGGCAGGCTGTCAGCTCCAGCGGCTTTGTTGTTTTTCAGCCGCGTTATTGCTATACGTACCTCGTCATAGTCAGGCGGTGGAACGTCGACTCCGTCATCATCGACTGCGGGCTCGGGTTCTTCTTCTCCACAACTTTCCGTGCTGCTACCATTTAGTAGGGCGGAAAAGTGTTCCCTCCATAATTTAAGTACGAAAAAGTGTTATATGGTAGAATTAAAATTAATGGTATATTTTTGTTGGTTCAATCTAGTCCTTTCGTTGTGTCGAAGCCACTGTACCTATTCAAGGGAATCAAAATAATAAGCATAATTTTCGTGTAGTTTGATAAAACGTGGAATAAAATCCTCTCCACTTTTCTCTAAAATTGATCATTCTCCAATATATATCAAAAAGAAACTTCTCCGATGCCCAAAACTCCAGATATAAACTCAGATCTGAGTAAAAGGTGTGTACCTATTCAAGTGAAGCGGGGTGTACATAAACGGGTGTCCCGATAATTGCAAACGATTTTTGTTTAACAGTTTTGACTATTCATTTTAATTTATGAGTTTTACTAAAATTTTTTAAGAAACAACGAAAATCCTATAACTTAAGTTTTAAACATTGTACAAGATTTATAACAATACGACGAAGTTCAAAAAATGGTCATACAAATTTCAAACTTTTTAATTGGAATTCCTAGATTCTGATTTTTGAGAATTTTTACCGCTGACCATGTTAATCGCTTTCTTCCATATAAAATATGTCCGATTTTTTTATGGGAGATAATGAGCAAACCTGCTAACGAGGCCGCTACTACATCACTAAAATTTAATGGGCTATGAAACTGCATACACGAATTTTTTCTAGAAATTCCAATAAGTTTGAAATTTTGAGGTCCATACTTTGAACCTCGTCGAATTATTATAAATCTTATATACAGTTTAAAACTTTGAGTTATTTGTATTGTAATTTCATTTGTATTTATCAGTTGTTCATTTGGCAGCATATTCATCAAGCCGTTTCTAAGACGTAATTGTTGGGTCCAACAGTTGCCAGCAGTTTCGTAGCAGTTGATCTAAACAGCTACGTCTTATGAACGCTCCCAAATGGTTCTGCATCATGCTGCGTTGATCATACCTTGTGATGCTAAAAAGTNATACAGAAAGAACAAGGACCAGGGATGTAATTTTAAGTACATCTATTATTCAGTGGCAATGCGCAGAGCGTTCGGGGCAGCAATATTAATTTGTATCAAATATAACATTAAATGGTGGTTCTAATACATTTTTTGATATTATTAACCAGTGTACACACATTATATGGTATTTATTTCAAAAATTTATGTACTATATGAACATTTTTTTCAAACATTTCTTAAGATTCTTTCAAGAGTGCTGAAAAGCAACCATGCGTGTAAGAAATTGTGTACTACCTAAAATTTCACCTCTGGAAACTTTATCCCCATAAAGGACTTCACCACAGTTTTTTTACTGGATATACTGAGGTAGAAATACAACTGCGTTTAATACAAATTTGCGGGCTGTGCGGAAAAGCGTTCGATGAGCGGTTTTCTTGCACTAAATAGCGTCCCCCCGGCGGGCGTATTCACGTATACATACACGCTTTGCTTGAGAAGGCAGCGTAAGCTTCATTCGACTTGTTCGCACGCCCACAGTGAGATCGATTGCACGCACACTACAAAAATGCTCTGCCTAGGCTGCCCACCTCTACACTAAACAATGTATTCGGCCTCATTGCGTAAGTCGTAAATTTGGCTAAATTGTACGACTCGACAACATTGGCATTGTTTACTGTCGTGGTGAAAAAAGTAAACGACGAAATTTGTCGAAAACCATACAGTGCTGCCAAGTTTTTCCGTTTTAATACACTAGTCGAGTGGAAATCTTAGGCAATGACGTGAAATTTTCGATACGATTCGACTCTCGAAAAACGACTTGCATTCGACACGACTCTCGCAATGAGGCTGATTTTCTTGCACTAAATTTCAAATGTTGTTCTGCATGAACCAAAAATACAAGATCACGTAAGAACGCGACGTTGTATTTGTAGCTGGTTTTGAGAAAAAAGTTTGCAAAAGCGGGTTCGTCAGCTGAGCGTTTGTTTACATCACAAGCACCACTATTTTACACTTTTATTCAAGTAAAGAAGAGTTAATTCAACATGACAACACATTTTAAAGCATTTTGTTGCATCATTTTACCTAAATTGTGCGTTTAAAGTGGCTGACAATAATTTTGGCTAATTTTGGTTTTCGTTGTTTTCTTTGCTTTGTTTACTTTTCGCTCGTTTTCCAGTGAAACAAGATGGCGTAGAACCCGCTAAAACAAATCGACTTTTTTCACTCTCTTGTTCTTACGTGATCTTGTGTCTTTCGTTCATGTGTTGTTCTGCATCATGCTGCGTTGAAAAAAAGTTGATGCCAACCCATACGAACTTTGACACTAAAAATATAAATACAACTCTGCGTTTAATACAAATTTGTGGGCTGTGCGCGAAAGAGACCTATAATAGAACCATGATAGAAAGTGACAAAAATTAAAAGATATGTGGATTATAAAAAAAAGAAGCAGCTGTAGTGAAGAATTTTGCATCTGTGAAAAAATATAATTTTTGGCATATAATCGAAGCATTGAAGCTTCTAATTAAGTTCAATACTAGGCGAAAAATACGAGTTTGCAGAAAAAATTATTAACTCTGCAAAAAGGTAGAGTACCAACTTTTTAATTTCGCAATAAGTGCCAACCAATGCTTAGAATGACGAGTCACCACAGCCATTGTCGCTATAATAAATATCGAAATAAATAGAATGTGGAAGAATTACATATTGATTATTCGCTAATATTTGGTGTTCAAGTGCATATGTTCAAATTACCGAATTTAGAAGTAGGTGTATGAGGGCAACGGTGGGTACATAGTGCTAAGGCAAATGAGACGCAATTTTTTGGAGATGCTTCTGCAGGAGCAACCAACGGCACTACTATACGGTCCAAGGAAACAAGAATGCGTGTCAAGTAGAGGGAAATAACGAAAAGATGACATCTTTGTGTATGCGAAAACTACCTTAAAGAATGCCAAAAGAAATATTGGGAAAGATAAATGTTTAGTTATTTGTACAACGATTTATTTCAAACAGAAAGCATTACTAAATAAGTGTGCAGATGAAATAATTTTTTTTTTACAAAGTGTAGGCTCTTGTCTACAATGTGAGTACAAGTACCCCTGGGAAATGTTTAGTTATTTGTACAACGATTTTGTGATGGTTTTGTAGAGGGGAACGGGGGTGTGGCCCTTCAAAACACCTGTAAGCGAAAGAGGATGGATAGCGCTCTATAAAAATCTATATATATTTTAATACAAGGGAGGATCAAACAGTATTAAAAATATGCTACAGAAACTAACTAACAGCAAGCTAAGTAGCAATGACATGCTAAAACAGTATAGTTGCGTTCCAGATGCTTCAGGTTTTACAGGATTTGCAGGAACAGCTGTTTTCTCCATTAATAAACCTTATGGAAGGTGGCCACCGGGAACGGCTTCCTGTAAAAACCTGTAAATCGTGAAGCATCTGGAACGCAACTTATGTTAGAGATGGATTGACATGGCACTACATCTTGTTTGTGTTGACATGAACTAGCCATGCATTAAATGTTTAAAAACGAAATTTTTACAGAAAATTTTGAATTTTGCAGTACTTTAGTACATACATACATACATATGTGATAAGGAATTTCGAGCATTGGTAAATGGCCAAAGGCCGCTGACTAGGGGCTGTTGAAAACAATTTCGCGTCATGCGACAATTCATAAAGAATTCGTTAATTAATTATTATCCCTATAAACATTTTGGGGAACGTTCGAAAATGACCTTCGATATCCTATCCAATATGCATATCGAACTGAGAACGAACTCATAACCAACATAGTTTTCCAACGTTCATAGTGTATTGGAAATATATTCGAGATAGGTTGAAAAAAAATGAAAATCATAGTAACAAGAGAGGAAGTGAAATCCAGCTGATTTTCGAATGGAAATATAAGACAATCACTCTCATTAAAATTTCAATTCGATAATGGGCTGAATTTCGAATTTATAACGAAGAGAAAATACATTGGATAAGGAAGGTTCCGTTTTGCTGGAGAATGGCCAAGTTCTCGAATCGAATACTAATCCATTCCACATTAGTTATCGAATTATTATTAATTAATTTTTCCGGAACCGGTTCACTTTTCATTTTTGGTTTCCATGTATTTACTATGCGCGGAATAAAAATTTTCGGGTGAATTTTTTTCGCGCGAAACTCGATAAGGCCGATTGGTTTTCCAATCATTTTGGAATTGTTAACCAAGCCAAACGCTTATTGGGATATTTTATAGTATAGTAGTAGTGTATTCTTTCTCCAGTCAACTTTAATAATAAATTAACAAACATTTCAATTTTTTGTGAATGTCAAAATTTTAAAGCAACCGTTTTTTTATTTTTATCACGACATACATTTATTTAGTTAACAATATTTTTATATTACAGCAATTACACGTTTTGTATATGAGCATCCGAACTAGCCAACAATAATTTCAGTGCAAATAATCGAAATATTGGTATCGAGTGGGCAAACAAATTCGTAAAAATTATCAATCAATATGGAACAAGGATTCAGTTCTGGAGGCTCAAATGCCTCCGGCGATAGTGTCGGAGGTTTTGGTCGTAATAATGCTGTTGGCAATGCCAGTGAAGGAAATGGAAGCGTTGGAGATATTATTTATAACAAGAATATCACACACAAAAATAGTGCCAACGGCAACGGGCTTACACCAGAAGTAAAGGAGATCTATCGGTACGTATTATAAATACATGTACATACACATATACATATTTATATGTTACCGGATAACCCGATCTTAGACAAACTAGTTTTGTCTTGGCTAAACTAGATCAGGCGCCACAGTATTTTTGCGCAGAACACGTTTTCGCGTAGGCGGCCTTCGGCCGGGCTTTAAAGAAATAACCCTCCTCAGTCCAACTCTAGGTACGCAGTCTACAATATTGTTTGCGCGTTGGACGGTTGTATCGGATCTAGGAAGAATTGGTTTAACCTAGGGAAAACTAATTTTTCCTAAGATCGGGTTTGGCCGATAACATACATATACATGCTAATATATTATATATTCCTTACTAGTAAAATAAACTTAATATAGCAAGCCTACTTTAAATTACTTTTAAAACCACATATATAAATGCTTGTTAGGTTGTTATACATACATACATTACACATGTGCAAATGTGTATTTATATTGTCTTTTTTTATCTTACCATAAAATATAAATCTTTTATAACTGTAAATAAATCGAATATCTAAAGAAGTTTTGAAGATTAAGATAAGATCTATTCATGTAAAAATTATCCAGTGCATGTAAAAAGTACGTGAACACAAACCCAGCTGCAATCATGATACAAGTGTTTAAATTTTTGTATTTTGAGCAAAAATTTTCAAGTCTCTTGAAGAGCTGATTAATTTGTTAAAAAAACCAAAATACAGAAAAATTTGAATATATATTGAAGGCTTTTTGATATTTAGAAAAAAACTAAAATGAACATTATAAGGGCTGGCAAAAATATGCAAGAAAAAATGCACTATAAAAGCTCAATAAATTACCAAAATATGAACTTAACTATGCTCAATCAATCAAGTTTTATTGAATTTTTACAAGATTTTTATTCAAAAGTACACAGCATAAAGTATATAAGTATACAGTATAAAGTAATATAATATTTTTATTTTTTTTTAATTATCAATCGAAAATGACATACTCTGGTCATTTAAAATTGTTGAATAATTCGAAAAACTGCTTTCCACATCCGTAGATGTAGTTGGACAAAATTTAAATAAACTTAATTCTGCTGGGGAGAACTTCGCAGATATTCGCTCCTAGTTGCGAAGCCAGTAAATAATACTTCTTTTATATTAGAAATTGTGCTATAATCAGAGTTTCTGTCCAAAATACATTCAAGTGTTTTCGAATGTTAGCATTTCCAAACTGGCCTTATGTAACATTTGTATGCTAAAATAAAAAAATTAAAAAAGTAAAAATTTTAAAAAGGTTTTTCTGTATTTATATAGTAATTAAATGATCCTTTATTCAGTAAAAAAATTACAGCTGTCGGTAGTAGAGATTTAAAGACATTAGTTGTTGTTGTTGTAAAATCATACAAAATTCCCCGAAGAGTTTTTGGGGAGTGTTGCTGGAGTGACAGTCCTTGGCCAGATATAAATCTGGGTGGTCGTTCCGGTTATGTAGACCCGACTGTTTTGGGAACGCAAATATATTAGTAAACATATGCGCGTAACGTTACAAAAAAAAAACAAGTGGATTTGCGAATTGGGCAGGATTATTTGTATAAATTTTTTTATAGTAATATTTTAAATATTTAAGGTTAAATTTCCAAGGTTTTTAAATATAGAAATCTTTTCTGCTTTTTGTTTCATCAGCTGAACTACATGTCTGACGTGACGTTACGTTACTAAAATGTTCCGTTGAAAAAGTTTTTTTTTAATATTAAACGCCTAAAAATATATTAAGGCGGTTTGCAAAGTACCATCAAAGTCATATTACGAATTTTCGCAGTGTTGGTTTTAAGTTCTCTGAACATCCATTGAATATTTTAAAGTTTACAACAATACGACACTAGGAGCTTTCCTTATCTCCCAGAAATAGTCAGAAAAAGTCCGAAGTAGTCAGATTTAGTCCAAAAAGCGTTCCTTAACTCGGAAATGACAGCAAAAATGAGAAAGCAACACTCGGTGAGAGTGACTCTCATCAGTCCGAAGTAGTCAGATTTAGTCAGAAGAATTTTTTCTGTCAAAATCCTGAAAAGTGTCAAACTCAACTGAATTTAAATTAACGGAAATTAAAGAATATGCAAAAAGTGATAATATTCTAAAAAGTAAAAAAAGTGAATTGAAATTGGAAGGAGGCAAAAAACAATTGATATAGTGAGTATTTATTGTGCTTGTGCTTGTGTGAATGTGTTTTGTACATACATTTCCAATCTTATTTGACGTTAGTTTTGTTGTTGCCATTCTTTGGACTAAAAATTTGGTTTTTTTGCGTTCTTTTACTTTTCCTGTTATTCTCTTTTAGTGAGCGCATTTTGCTTACGCTCTGGCATTTTGACACTTTTCAGATTTTAGTCCAAATAGATAAGGAATAAACCTACTTACAACACCGTTCTGAATCCCTCAATTGTTTTTGAACGAATTTTTAGCGCGAAGAAAACGTGCATTTTATGTCGAACATGCTTTTTATTTTGACTCAGCGCCCTTAGCAGTACCATATTTTTTGCAAATCTGCTAAAATGCGCAACAAACCAGCCGCAAAATGTCCAATGCTTTATTATTTAAATAGTTCATATCAGGAGAGTAAATTAATTACAAGTATGTGCATTTTTTTATATGTGAAGCAATATTTATAAAATTTTGTACAAATTCCCCAATAGTCGGGTCACACGGTGACACTCGATTGGTTTGACAGCACTTGCAGCAAAAACTGAAAATTGCTAGTGCAGCACGAGCAAGTCGAAACTATTTCTCGAAAGCGATTTGGGTAATTTCAGTTGCAATAACACCTTCCAGTTTTTATTTCTGAAAGTAATTTCGGCAAATCTGCAAAATGGTCTTTCTGGCTGATTACACAAGAAAGTAGACTTTCGATTTCGCATTTTGACGGCAAAATGCGTAGAAAAAGCGCTGCATTGTCACTTTTAATGGCACCCTTAAGAACTCAAATATGTAGACCGAAAGCACCCATATTAGGTGCGTTCGACAAGTCAAAAATTTGTAATAGTTTTACCAAATTTTTACTGGATGGCGTTCGATAACGACAAAAAATTATCCAACACACAAAAATTGAGAGAGCAAGCGTTCATTTTGATGCAAGAGAAGCGTTCATTTTGTACTGGCAAAATTTTAGTCAGCAAAAATTATCCAACGCGAAAACATATGATCACAAAACATATGATTGCAATTTTTGTAAACAAACAAAATTGCATTTTCCGAGTTTTGGTATTTATATGCTTTTTGGCTGCCTGCTATATGACTTTATGATAGCGCCAACTAGTTTTTACTTCTAGAAATGTTCCTGGCGAACATTGAACGTTCACTTTCCTTTTTTCTTCTATGGAGGCAACATGAATTTAAGTTTGTTTACAAATAAAACATAAACAAAGTCAGCTGGTGTGTGTTCTTATTCCGGTTTTTGCAAGTAATGGCTAATTTCCTGTTCGTTTACTTTTTTGCTTTTTCATCTCTTTGGGAGAGAATTTTCGCTTTATCTCTTAATTTTGATTGTTGGCTAATTTTGTTATCGAACGCAACTATTGACAACAGAGGTGCTTACATATACATACTTATATTTATGCATCGATGATCTTTACGTTACAGTAAAAGGAAAGTTTCATTTGCTCAAGGCTGACCCTTTTCGATATTAAAACTGCATAAATCCAGAGCATACTAATCTTGCAAACTGGGCATCTTTTAAGAACACATTGCAATGCCAAAAATAGAAAAAGGCAAAAGCAGTTTGCATGGGACGAATTTGTGCATAAAAAATGAGGTTGTTCACGCTTGCCAGGTTATCTTGTTAAAAATTATTATTGTGTAGTGTATTTTATTGTAAACTGAATAAAAAAGATAACCACATAATCACCTAACCATATGTATAAGCTGATAACCAGGCAAGCCTGAACAACCTCAATGTTCGTAAAAATGGCCTCAGGCTCAATGCAATTTAGAATATAGTTGTGAAGCGATATTATGTCTTAAAGTTTGCTGCTCTCGATTCTTTATTTCTTTTACAGTTAGCTTTGTGATAGTACGTAAGTATGTATATGTATGCGTGTTGAGTCTTGCGCTTATCAACTGGCTTTGTTTTCCGGTTAAACTGCTTCGTCGAAGTGGCATCTGAATAGCACATCAGCTGAATACCGTCTTATACACTAATGCTTTGTTAGTAGGTGCCGCTCCATCATTAGTGTTTTTCCAAAGCAGTAGGTTATGAATAGCGCGTAGTTGTATTTTTATTTTCAATTTATGTACCCATGTTTTAGATAACGTTTTGTTGTTTCGTAAATATGTATACGATTTTTCTTTTGAAACACGATCTCCAGCACAAATTTACATACCTTTATATTCCTTACTTGTTTGTACCATAGATCTCTTTATATTGTTGCCAAAAACCTGGACGATGAGAAAAAACACATCACCACTATATCACAACTATTCCAACATGAACTGGAGGAGAAACGTGCGCAGCTGGTCCAGCTCTGTAAGAAGATCGTCTTCAAGGACTATCAATCAGTGGGTAAAAAAGCACGTGAAATCATGTGGCGCAAAGGATACTATGAATTCATTGCTTACGTAAAGAAAAATTGGCACAAAGAATTAAAGGACACCACACAGGCGGGAAACCAGGACAATTTGATAAAAGTGGAGCGCTTTCTTTGCGCTGGTATATCAAATTATAAACGCATGGCCGCTAAAATGGAGGAAATCTATGATCTTGATCTGAAATATCTAATTGACTTTAGTATCATTAGTGACGGATACATGCGTGAAATAGAACAGAGTTCGTCACGCGATGGCTGTGGCGGTGGAGACATTAGTGCTGCACAGGCGGTAGATAAAAGTTTGGAAGCGGTCTCTTTTGCTTTGGACACGATACATTCGGCCCTCTTGAGCTTAGGCGATTTGCACCGATATTTTTTGGATTTTCGCATTGATACCCGTCTCAAGGTCACCAAACAACAGGCAGCCAAGTACTATTTCGAAGCGTTTAAATTGAATCCAGCAATTGGAATGTCGCAGAATCAATTGGGTACGCTGTATTATGGCCAGAATCATGACTTGGACTCCATCTATCATTATTTGTACTCATTGGTTAGCATTGTTCCCTTCGAGTTGAGTGAAAACAATGTTTGTAAACTATTTGCCGCTCATGCTGAGTACTTGGAAAAATTGGAGCCAGAAAAGATTGAATTTAGCTTACAAGATTTCTACGCGCGCTTCTATTTGATCGTAGATATATTTTTCTTCGATAAAGAAGTGCCCGATTTTAATTCACTCTGCCACTGCGTACTAGTAGACCTTCGCAAAGTGCTCTGCTCGAAAGCATTCACATTGGAGGAGGGTTGCATTTTCAAGATAGTCTCGATACTCTTCTTTTGCTTATCGAAGCTAAAAATGATTAATTCGCAGAAGGTTTACTCCTTGAATGCTTTTCTTGTGGCCGTGTGTTCCGATTTAATGGACGCATGCATTGTAAATTTGGAACAAAACATTTTAGCAAAATCAACTGAGAATGAGGAATTTCACGGCATGTACGCGGATAAATTTGAGGAGTTTAATATGGTTGTCCGCAAGTCGCGTAACGAATACAAAAATTGGCTTGTTAATATCGGTGAAGCCGATAGAAAAGATAAGAAGTCTGCCGCTAAACCGTCATTAAAAGAATTCTACTCTGATTCACGCGAAAGTCAACGCTCTAATGATGACTATGTTATCAAAACTCAGGACAGTCACAAACATGCTAAAATAGATGGTGGAGCAGATAAAAATGGAGATCCGATATCCACACGTTCGAGCGACGAGGCCAAAGAGAGCGATCTAAAAACTCCACTATCATGCAAAAGCAAGAAGAAAGGAATGAAATTGCGTCGACGTAGGCGCAAGATTGCGCAATCCGATGACAGTTCGTGCTATGACACTGAAAGTGACATGGATACCGATTTTAGTACGGACGATGAGGATTACACTGATCTGAGTTCGAATTTTGATACTGATTTCAGCGATATTGAAGCAGAGCCTGTAGCTGATGAACGGGACGATGCCGATGAAGCAGGTAAGTTTTCTACCATTCATGCATATTAGCAACTGAAACGTAATCGACATATTAATGAATAATACACACTCTTCCAGATTTTGCTAAGCATCCTGCTAAATCTGAGTCGCAGGAGCAAAATGCACCTCGTCTATCTTCTGCACCTTCCAAGGAAAGTCTCACTTCAAACGATGGCGTTGGCCCGACTTTCTCCGACAACGAGGATGTTGTTATCGAGGAAGAGAAAATTATTTATCCCAATGAGCCGTCAGGACAGCTGACGAAACAACGCACTGACTCACAAGAAGTCGACAGCGAGGAATTGCTGCGCAGTTTCGAAGTGTTGCAGCTGAATAGTGGCTCACTTAATTTCAGGAATACAGACAATGAAGAATCACTGCCCCCTGTTGCCGAACACAATGAAAAGCACCAGTATGTGGACGATGGTAATTTGAATCGCGGCGAACCGCCAAAGAAACTAGTTTACCGAAACAAGTACACTAAAATAAATCCAAATATTATTGTTGAATTTGCCCGTCACGAGCCCACTATGCGTGCATTAAAAATTCTTTACGATTGGCTACGCATTAATCATGAAATACTTTTCGGCTGCTATCACTCTAATCCAGAGTTCATTCACAAAATTATGAAATTGCTTAACTACTGCAATATCGATATATTCACTCGGAAAGTGTATTTCGAACGCGAGTTTTTGACGACAGCCAATGTGCGAACCCAACTTGGCGATCTATTTGATGTTCGCGCCAATGTACCATTAGCCGAGGATTTTGTTTTCAAAAATTTCGACATTTTCCAAGGCACTCAACTTACGCTAGATTGGGAGACGACCATACGCGAGCACGTTACACCCGAAGAGGAGTGTATTTTACGTATTTTCAAAATGGTTGATTTTGGATTCTTCATCTGCAAGCAAAAGAAATTTAATTATCGTTTTTGCGTGAAAACACGTCGTTTTACCGAAAATGCCAAGAAAAAACGTGAAGAAAAGAAATCGTCTTCACGCCGTCGTGAGCGACGCACTATGAAAAATGCTACGCGCAAGCGTGCTGAAGGCCGCACCCGTCGCTACTCGGATCGCAAGAATGGCATCGTACGCAAGAGCTATACCAGCAATGAAGAAAAGGACACCGTTGAGGAATGCAAGAAAGTGCCACGCAAAGGCTATTTACGTAATCGCAATATAGAAAAATCGGTGAATAGCGGGAATTCAGGCGGCGCTGGTGGTGGCGGCGGCGGAGGCACATCTGCTTCCACGACCACAAATAGCGCCGTATGTGACAAAGTTTTGATGCAATCGAGTAGCGGTGCTGATGAAGAGCGTTCGGAAGCAATGTCGAAGAAATGTGAAATTATGGGCAAGCTGTGGCTGAAGAATGAGGTCGAAACACTTGAGGAGGAGGTGAGTGCTTTTATGATTTTGTTTTTATGTATTGCTAAAACTACCAATATAAATTCCATTTACACCAACATCGCTGATTCTGAAAATTGAAGTCTTAAAAATTCAACATTTTTCCTCGAATACAACATCCTTTAACATAAATGCGTTATCATTAATTATTTTGCATACTACTTTTAAAACTTCCTCGAATTTTAACCTGAATTGATTTTGATAAATATCTAATTACAGTTACGCAAAAACCCCTTGAATATTATCATGACCCCATTTCTTGTTGTCGATGCCAAGGCTTTGACTGAGTACAATGGCATTGTTAAAAATCTGGTGAAAACTAAAAAATTTATCGTACTCATACCAAACGCAGGTAAAATAAAAAAAAACATCATATGCGCCTATTGTTGACATAAAATCAAAACAAAATTTATTTCCCAAATCAGTCTTGAATGAGTTGGACGATCTGAAGAAGCGCAGCGAAAACGCTCGCAATGTCATACGCTGGTTGGAACAGGAGTTTAAGCATGGAAATCGTCATTTGCGCGCACAGCGTGACAACGAAAATTTGACCCTATCGTTGCTGAAAATTCCCAGGAAGTTAGGTGAGCTTGAATAAAATTATTAGCGAAAATAGTTTGGAAATATTATTTTATGTCCACCGGTCTCCAGATCGCGACGCCGGCGTCTTCCTGCAGATTGCACAATTTTGTAATCATCTCGTTGCCAATCATTCTGATCCCAAATCGACCGAATTCCAAACCAATGTTGTTACCTACTTATCTGGCGATTCACTTTATGAGAAACAGCGTCATCAAACGAATTTCAGTTTCACTGGCATTTTAGATGCCATACCAGTACGTTATGAGCAAATTTCCAATTTCTATGCGAAATTCAAGGCGAACAAAAAATGAACTCATATACGCTGCAGGAGCAACGCCTGCGTGGAGCGTTTTGTGTGAACTCGGGATCATAAAAACAAATGAAGAGATGATGATTACAAAATGAGATGAAGAAAAACATGAGCTTATGGAGGACGAAAGATCTATGAAAATGAAAAAAAATCTAAAATCAAATTCAAAACCAAAAAAAAAACACCGAAACAATTTCAAAACGTGAATGCTGAGTGCGCGGCGGTGCGGCGTTAACGTCATTAACAACGGCGGTAGTATTAGCACCAGCAGCAGCTGTAGCGGTATCAGCAGCAACAACAAAAAAACAACATCAACAACAATTTCAAAACTAACTGCAAATGCGTAATAGCAGTTTAAGAAAATCCTTGAAAGAAACAACTACAACAAGTTTATTTGAAAACCCACAACAACGATGAAGAGGAGGAAGCTGAAGATGACGATAATGATGGTTACGACCGGCATAGAGGGTGTGCCGTTGATGTTAAAGAATAGGAAGAAATCTAATGTTTCCGCCTGCAGCATCCAACACTGCATTCAAACAAATCATAGTTACATGGGTGGTAGCGATGCTTAAAATACGTATTATTTTCGCCGGTGATAGCAGCGTGTTAGCGATGTGAAACGAGTGTATAACTCAGTGAGTTTGCTTCAATATTGCCAGCCTTATGTTAGGCAGGCAATTTTAATACCAATACTTAAGAGCAGAAAGAAAAAATTATTAAAAAAATAGTATGCAGTATGTACAATCAAATTCCATTGCACGATCTAAAAGGCAGACGCGTTTCTAATATGGCCAATAGAGTTGCAAGTAGGCAAAAATTTTAAATTATTTACAAAACTGTATTTACTTATTGGTCACTTATTTTAGGCCTTTCCAGCGCTTCGTTAATTTAAAATTCTAAAGACCAAATAGTTTGCATTTATCACCTCGTAAAAATACTAAAATAACAGCAATAGCAGAATCCCTAATAAATTCTCGAGTGTGGTTATCCCTATGCCGCCTAGTCCAGTACAGTGCTTCGTTAATTTAAAATTCTAAAGATCAAATAGTTTGCATTTATCACCTCGTAAAAATCCTTAAATAACAGCAATAACAGAATCCCTAACAAATTCTCGAGTGTGGTTATCCCTTTGCCTAGTCCTCATTTCAATAAGAAGCAAGCACTCAGCTCTTAACCAAATACGACACTCGCTTATGCTGCATATTTTATAACGAAAAAATTTAGATGACAATCTATTTCAAAACCATAGTTCTTTTGGCTCGCTGTACATCGCTCGTAAGAATCGTGCTACCGATTGTCAAAGTTTTCGTCACTTGCACAAGTATTTGTGTCACTATGTTAGCACGCACGTTATTGCGTTGGTAGTTTTGTTTGCAACAGTTTCCGATGCTAAAAAACTTCTTTTCGAATATCATCGAGCAAGACACCTATCATTCGCTAATAAAATAACGAAAAACATCTATGGGGTGGAATGCTTACCGATTTCGTGAGGCGTAATAAAAAGTTTTTGATAATAATTTGAAAATGTGAATGCTGGAACAGGTTTTTTCGATAGCATCTTCGGAAAAAAACAAAGCGTTTCTGTCAAAGCTTTAGACATCCTGCTTGTTTGTACAGCTGCAATTTATCAAGATGCATAAACATTATTTTCCAAGTGTAGCGTAAGTGTGTGCATCAGTACAATACTGAACATGTATTTTGTTATAACATACGACCATGATTCAATAATACAAGGTTAGATAATTATTGACAGCTGCGGTTTGACACTCCCTTACAAAAGGTTGCATTTACGAAGGACGGAGAAAGGGGAAGAATGAAATCTCTTGGTGCGAAAATGGTAGTAGAAAAGTACACAAAATAGGGAATTAGTAGTGAAATTCCTTTTGTAAATTCTAATGTATTTGCAGGAAATCTGGCATTTTAAACGAAATGTTGAACGTAATATTGATATCTCTACGTGAATTACGTAATTTATGAGCTATTTAGCTGTATAAAAACTGCAAAATGACTCAAAATTAAAATAAGACAACTATGAGATTAATGCAAACATCTAATTTAAAAACAGATAATGTTTTCATCCGTTAAGTATGCTTCATATGCATATATAAATAAACATATTGCACAAAAGCTTATACTTCTATTTCACATCAAAGCTACACTGTTTCCATGTAAATTTGCAAAGAAGCAACACGGTGCCACTGCTAAGGGAGCGGTGCGAGAGAGACAACTGTTAGTTTATCGAACCTTGTATTATTGAATCATGACATACGACGAGTTGAACACTATATACGTATATATATATGTATAAATGCATTACGTTGTAACGCAATACAAAAGAAAATTACATTGTTTTTAAATGTCGCACCTGTCATGTTGTTTCATGGGCTAAAGGAAAGGTTTATAGAAACTCAAAACTTCGTAGACGTTTTTTCCATGATATTCATAAGCAACCAGAGACAAATAATGACATACATACCTCTTCATGTAATACGGTGGTGAATTTGAATAAAACACTTATGTATTTTCAATTTTCTTTTGTACGACGTCACGCTTTAGATTATTTTAGTAATTCTTATAATTTTCAGTATATGTAGTTACAAGGTATATTTGTACATATCGCTTATTTACTTCAATAGTGTCATACCTCCAAAAAGCAAAACTCGAGATAAACGGCTTTAAAGTCTTGAATTTACATATACTCCCATAGTACATGTGAATACTTATTTTTTTCAAGTGAGATACTGGTAATCGATACAGCCATTGAAAGTTTTACACAACATATAAAAGAGGTAGCGGTAACTAAATTTTTGTATTTTTTTTTGGTTATGACACTATTGAAGTAAATGAGCGATACGTATCTCTGGTGTCAGGTATAGAAATTATAACTCCATTTTTGCTTTTTTTTAGTTTTTAATTAAAGTAAAATAAATGTGTGCTTAGATGTAAGAAGTAGCACTTGCTATAACATCCCATTTCTATGTACAATAATTCTTGTTTATGAAGTCCAAAAATGTATTCCCCCGGCGTTTATAATTAGGGCTATCACCGAATCCATCGTAGAACGATTTTTCGTGAAACCTACGAAAATGCTACCACTGAATACACAGGTTCGTATCAATTCGGTTTCAGAGATCGCATTTTTGTAGATTTCGCGATATATCGCATTACGATGGGTGCTGTGATAGCCCCCAATGTTTCATCACAAATGCGAATGGCACTTCCTTGAACTAAAGTTATGATTTTCTTACCAGTCACCACAGAAAAAGTTATGTTTTTCCTACCTGACACCACAGCTATGTCAAGCACGCAGATTTTTCGGCAACCGTCATCAAGCAGTTTTTTGCCATTTCACCAAGAATGGCATCTTTTTAAGAGACTACGTTCAGTTCTTAATAAAAAATTACTACATACTTCATGATTTCAGTCACAAGTAGCCTATATGTTTATCTCTACCATCTGGTTCTTTTTTAACATCACACATTTATCTCTTCTGAAAAAAATTCACTTTGGCCGGATAAAATTCATTTATTTTAAATACATATGTTACTTCAATATTTCCTGTTCACTAGTAGTTTGAAGCGGACATATTTAGTGCCTTTGGAAAAAAAAAACCTTGATCGCTGAATATTGTTCAGTGCAAATAAGCATAATGAAGAGAAATTCCACTTGACGGTTGCCTAAACAGTTTTTGCATGGACACACATAAATATAAATAGCCTCCAGTAATTTATGAAGGTGTGCATTAAAGCATTGAGCGGAAATCAGCGTGGGTTTTGCAAAATTTCACGTTGAAGCTTTCCAAAAAAACATGCAATAAGATTTTTAAATTCGTTGTTTTTCAGCTACCATAAAATAGTTCCCTTTTTGCAGCCTCTCAATATTTAGGATTTTCAAAAGTAATTGCCAACAATGAAAATATAGTAGCGAAATATTTAAATAATTAAACCTCTTCCGCATCACTTCAAATCCGCCTACTGATTTCTGCACACTGCTTTTAATGAAACTTTATTGGTTCAACACAGTTCAGAATAGGTCTGTTAATGTAACATTTAATTTTATTACAAGAAAAAACAGCAACAACAAAGCAGAAATATAAACGTAACCATAACCATATCGGAACCATAATTTCAAACCATAATTATTAGTCATTAACTTATGTTAATCATAATCATAGTCAGCATTAACTTTCTTTTAAAGATACACATTTGCCCTCACCTTCGTTGTTTTGCATTACAAAAGAAAAATCTTGAAATAAGATATAAATTTCCACGAAAGCTCTGCAAGTTGGTGTAGCTGCTTTCACAAAAGCTTTAAAGCTCACCGTCAAACCTTGGCCACTTGTAGGGCGTATCCCTCTAGTGCGCATAACTTGCACCTATACTGATCTTTTCGCTTCAAGTCACTATCGGTTTTATAATTATTATTATATTTATATTAATATCACACAAATTAAGGATTACACTTTATAACTTTGTAGCTTATTCATGAATTACAAATCGGTTCGTATTCCGTTTGTAAACGTGAAAAGCGTTTTCATAATAATATTAAAAAATCTTTAATCCCTTGATTTTTCTCTTTATTGAAATATATATATAAATAATTTTCCCATCTGTCCGCTTAATCACTTTAATATTAATAAAAAAAAAAATAAAAATGCTTGTCGGGCTTAAAAAAACACAAACAAGTACACATGCAGACTAAATATTTGTTAGTTTCTAAATTAGAAATAATTCAATTCTAATTTGTTTTATTTACATACATCTCAATCATATGTTTTATCTTAAAACTTTTAGCTCGTAAAATATTTCGAACAAATTGTACAAATTTTCATTCAATCACCTTCGTTACCTACAATTTTTTATCCAAATTTGTAAAATTTCTAGCACTTGTAAACTAATTTATTACAATAGCAGTTTCAATAAAGCTCGACAGCAAATAAAAAAACACAGCTTATTTTTATTTTAAACTGGGTGAACCCGTTTTTAATTCTCCATGCCACATGAGTAAAGGAAATTTCGTTGCGCAGCTTGGTGACGATTATTAAAGCTGCATAAACTGCATTTTGCAACTGAAGTTAAGGGAACATAAACATTTATTGGACAATCAAATCTAAAACTTTCAAGATTTTGCATTACAGATTATCATTTTGTTGAGCTATCACCCCATAGGACTGGTCATTGGACTGAAGCAGAGGTAAATATCATAATCATTTATCTAAATCACTTACCTTCTTTATGCCAAAATTTTCTTCCCAGGTTATTTGCCACCTTAAGCAAAGAATTTTTCCCTACTTGACCTTCACCTGACCTTGAACCTGACATGATGGGGCTAACAGACGTCGGATTCACATTCAGCCCGTCGAATAACATAGGGATATAGAGGTTTGGCTCAATAAACCTTTTTTTTTTGTAAACTTGTGTAATCGGCCTTAACGGGATTTCCATGTGAACAAATATTCCCAAAAATCATAAAGTAAAACAAAAACAATTTTTTTCGATTTGGTTTTGCTTGTAAATTCTTGTGATCAATTTATTTACATGGAATTGGCAATAGGGCTGAATATTTCATGATTCAAGCTAAAACTTTGTCAATGTCAAATTNCATGGAATTGGCAATAGGGCTGAATATTTCATGATTCAAGCTAAAACTTTTCATTTTGTAATCTTTTAGGTGCCTGGATCAAAAGCTGTTCATATATAAACACACCCATTTAGACCAGGTATTGATGAACTAATATCTACAAACTGTGCTGAAAGCACGCTGTAAATGGGGAATTCAATCCACGGCTTCATAAAATGCATTTTGGATGATTATTGGCTACCTACAGCAATATGTCAACAAGGAAATGTCAAATTCTGATCGGATTAACAAATCTAAACTGTATAGATTTTTTCATAGATTACCATTTCGTTGAGCTATTTAATAATTAACAGAATTGGGCTGGACTGAAGGGAAGGTCTGCATGCAAGGTAAATGAGTAGCATTAACATATTTAAATTTTTACACCACTTACCTTGATTAATACATTTTTCCATAAGAAACAACTATACTATTTTAAAATGTAATTAAACAAATTTTATTATGTCATTTTTCAGCCGCCTGCCTCAGCAGTTCTTCATATAACAGCAATTCGTATACCACACATGTTTCAACCTGGTATCAACGAGCATTAAATGCAATTAAATGTATAACTGGGACACAGTAGAAGCAAGAATTGTAAAATATATATCCAAAATCGGACAAACACCTGCTTTTAAATTATGTTCGGTACATTAATATAATAGAGAAATGACTCAAATTTGAATTGCAGATTTCCACTTCCTGGAAGCTATATTTTGTGATCATCTGAATTAGGCAGGATTGATGCGAAGGTAAATATATATGTACATATGTGTTAAAGTGCAGCAATAACCTATATAAACGCCATATACTATTAACTTAATTGATCTTCATAAAATATAATTTTTATCCCGAACTCTATTCTTTTTCTCTTTTCAGGTGTTTGGCTAAATTAGATGAAAATAACCTTGTATATGTAACAGCAAATCGAGTCCAACAGCCTGCGACCATACACATTTCGGTCTGCTTGCAACACCTCGATGTTAACCTGCTTGAAAGGAAAGAAAAAGCTGTATATTCGGTACGTTAATATCATGGAGAAAAAAAAACTAAAAATATCGAAGCAGCACTGGACTACAACGGCGATTGTATTCTTTTCATTGCCTACGGCGCCAGATTTGATTCCAATTTTGGATCGCTGAACTGGAGTGGTTTCGCCAGAATGTTTCATTGCCTACGGCGCCAGATTTGATTCCAATTTTGGATAGCTGAACTGGAGTGGTTTCGCCTTATGTTTCAGAATTCATACATACATTTTAATAATAATGCATAAAATATTTATTTATAAACGACACTTTTATTGTAATTTCACTTCTAATTTTTGTTAAATAAAAAAATGTTTTCTTGTATTTAATTGTTTAATATGAAAAAATTGAGTTGTTTCCACCAATTTCCACCGATTGCTGCCGTCGCGCGAATCGATAAAAAATTTTTTGCAGCTACTGAGCACAGAAATCGCCGTATTGCACCAGGCGCGCATAACTGAGCAGCCAGGATGCCGCATTTTTGCCTTCCGGCCGGATGTAACCTAAAAGTATGCAACAAATTTTTGGCGCGGCCGGCACAGCATGCACTCTACTTCCGCGGCACGGACACAGGGTGCACCTGGGGCTGGGTGAAAATGATATTAGCTGTGTTTTCTTCGGCAATGATCCGGATCTGTAAAAAAACTTGCACGCAAATCCAGCAACAACAATGTGATTTTGATAAGACATATGGCTCAATTTATGATGCCAACCCCAATAATAATGATCGAGCTGGATAACCCATGAAAACACAACTATTATTTATACAAAGTAATAGCGACAGCACAAAGACAAAAAACTACACTAACAAGTTATACGTACCTTGACAATCAGAATACAAAAAAATTTGCAGCAAACACATCAGCGCTATTTAGGATGTTGTGAAAATGGTCTTGGATTTGCAGTTGGAATTGCATTTGCAAATTTTATGCTTGCTGCCAAGGCAACCGTGTGCATTTTATTGTTATGAATTTATAAATGCAACGAATATGCAAATGAAAGAGCATATACTCAAGATCCTAGTGTTCACCAATACTATAGGCATATATCGATAGTTTTCCACCTCAAGTCCCGACTATCGACTACCGAGAGTTGAAAAAAGTGAAACCATCTATAGTATCGATAGTGCCATCGATAATTTGACAGCCCTACTGAGATCACTGCATTGCAATTGCTACAGGGTTATGCTCAAACACCTAAATTCATAAAAAATAAAGAAGTTTTTATATGTAAAATGTAACTTTATAAAGCTCTTTAAACCTATTTCATTTTTTTATGAATAAGGCCAATAGCTACATATAAAACATACTTTGACAGAAACAGCAAAAAAAGTTCTAATAAGCGTAGGCCAAGGCGAATTCATATAAGGTGGTATCGATTCATGAACCAGTTAGGACAGATCTGACCGGTTGACAAGCAGCCATTTGCAAAAGCATTTGAGAAAAAAGTTTGTGACGTTCGCAATTTTGAAGTTTGCTAATTCTGTTTTGATTTTTACAACTCTTTGTTTATGTGTATTTTGGCCGTGGTTAATTTGAGTGATTTAAGCGATTTTCAATATTTTTTTTTTTAAATACAATTAAAATGAAGTGCGCGATAATCGGTTGCAAAAATATGCGCAAAAATAATAAATTAATAATAACATGCGCTCAAAAATATCTTTAATTTTTTTACTACTTGCCATTGTCAAATTTCAGCTATTATTCCCCAAATGAATTTCCAAAATTATTAGGTTTTCACTCACTCACCAGCGAAATACAAAATTTTACAATCAAACGCTGATGAAACATATAAATTCGCCTTGATGTAGGAGTTATTAACCAAAACGCTTTAAAATATTAAAATATCATATAAACATCGGAATTTTATTAAGTCATTGCATATATTGCCAATTTTGAAGTTTATTTTATTAAGCAAGACAAGGACAAACATAGTTACAATAGCAAACTGTCAAAATATGAAAGCATTGTCAGACTAAACTTAACATTAAATGTTTTACACAATAATGAGGTTTACACATAGTGCTTATAGGAAAAAATATAAAATAATGCAATCATATAATAAAAATGCTACAATCTCTCCCTTTGACGTGTACTCTCTCGAGTGCATGTCAACATCTACTGGTTCCGGGCTTTCTTGCGGCGGCTGCCAAATAGTTTTGCTCTGGCGCTGTTAAAAAATGTTTCGCATATTTGCATTTGTTCTCACTCTAGCTGTTCAACTAGCAGTCTCTTTGGCAGCGCTTTTGGCGCTTTCTCAGTCTCTAGTGAATTCAGCTTCAGCGGTAAAGCAGTAGCGAAGTCAAAATGTTGCGTTGGATCACTTTCAAAATGCCAGTTCCTTTGACCCATGTTGAGGACTATGCCAGCTTGTTCCAGAAAATCGGTACCAATCAAAGTGCGGCTAGTTTTTGCATCAGGAAACACAATAAACTCTGCGTTAAGACTACGGCCACCAATTTTAATTTTGCACACAGTAGACAAACAGTTTTGGATTGACGAGCTCCCATCAGCTAAAGCGAATGCACATCTGGCTTCTCGGTACTTGCATCCTTTTAAATCCATTACCGCTTTTAGATTAGCACTTGCTAAGCTTGCACATGCTCCAGAGTCAAAAAATGCTTGAACGGGCATGTCGAAAATCTGAATTTCAACCACAGGCATATCTCTTCCGATCCCATAGGTAGTCAGCGAGTTGAAATAAACGAAACCATGGGAAGGCTTTTTTACGTTTCGACATGTGGAACAATTTGCGCGAGTAACGCCAGGCGTGTTGCATCCGTAGCAAGCGAATTTAGGCTCAGCAACCACTGCTCGTGCAACTGCCTCAGACTGAGCTGCTGCATCGGCCGTTAGCTTTTTAAAACAGTTTTCTGCCGTGTGGCCCGTCTTGCGACAGAAATTACATCGTAACGCAACTCCGACACTTTCACCCTGTATTGAACTTTCACCATTAGCACTCTTAAGCTCGCTTAAAAAATGTTCAGTTTCCCGAGCTTCATTGAGCAATTCTTCATAGCACGTAACTTTTTCTCGGTCTACTCTTTCCCGGACCTGTGCGTGTAACATTCCAAACAGCATATCTAGTTGCTCTGCTTCGGCAGGAGCTTTCTCCAGCTGCGAAAAAAGCGCTCGCTTCTTCCGAATGAAGGTATCCGTAGGTTCGTTCTTTTGTTGCTTCAGCTCAAAGATCTCAGCATAAATTTTCCATGCAGGTCTTGGGGGTGAAAAACATTTGCGCAGCTTACGTAGCACATCTATAAAATCAGTAACATGATCCTTTATGCCACGCCACCACTCAGCAGCATCACCTTCGAGCAGCGTTGGCATTTCGTTGATTGCGTCGGCATCGCTGATTTTTTCCACAATTTTAAATGTTGAAATTGCGGCAATAAACTCCTCGATTTTAATTGGATTACGCTCGCCATTATAGCGGGCACTGCACGTGGAAAAAATTCCTACACGGTCGTTGTTAGTGGGTACTGCACGCATCAAACGCTCGAGTTGTTCGTAAGTCAACGATATCGCCATGTTGCTTTGCAGTCTGGAACTTCGCCTCAAAAAAAAATTGCCGACTATGTTGGGCGTCAATTGTAACAAACAACACTTCGTTGTGGTTTTAACGACGTGTCTTTCAAAATTTCACTGTTTTGTTTACCTTTTTGGAGTAAAAATTCAACCAGAAAATACACACAGCTTGTTGTTTTTGATCTAATGCTGCTACCTGTTTAATGTGCATTGACACGTTGCACTTCACGCAAGTCTGCTTACTTCTGATCGCCAGAACACAAATGAACGAGCTTAAGCAAAGTCTCTGCTTTTATAGCGTTTTCTTACAACGTTTGGCAATATGCAAGACAAGGACAAACATAGTTACAATAACAAACTGTCAAAATATGAAAGCATTGCCAGACTAAACTTTACATTAAATGTTTTACACAGTTATGAGGTGTTTACACATAGTGATTATAGAAAAAATATAAAATAATGCAATCATGTAATAAATCTGCTACAATGTGTTATTTATTTTTGTACCAGCAATTGAGCATTAGGAAAATAATTTTAATTGCATATTTTACTTGTTTATAGCGCATAGTTTTGAATTTCAGAATTCATATTATATGCGAATAATAATAATAATAGATTGGCACTTACATTTATGTTAGTGTTTGGACGAGCTTCTCCTCCGATTTGTGGCGTGCGCCTTGATGTCACAAAAAAGAGACCTAGAGTTTTACGCCGACTCCGAACAGCGATTGTGTTTTTATGAGAAGCTGTTTTTCATGGCAGAAATACACTCGGAGGTTGGCCATTGCCAAGGTCCGCTTGGCTCGTACACCCTCAAAATTTCGAGTTGTTTTGCATTGACGGTGACGATATATGTACATATGTATACATACCAACCGTTCCACAAATTTTAAGCAATTTAAATTTGTTTTATGTTTTCAATATTAAAATAAAACAAAGAAATATTTTAGTATATTTTAATTTGCAGATAAAACAAATCAAATTTATTAGATTTTATACAATACATGAAATAAAATATGTATATGTAGTACGTATAAGTGATTGTTTTTATAAACATGAAGCGTAGTCGTTGGTGAATAAATAGAAAATATAATGCTAAGAAATAGTAGAACAGTGAAGCAAAGCAGGCGTTGCAACAATTCATTGACTAATCAATAATAAAAATAAAAAAAAATAACAAATTAATAAAAAATAACATTAATGTGCGACACATAAATATATTTATAACGAGCGAAGACGTCAGAATTCAACTTATT